ACTAAACACAGTCACACGTAAATTCACATGTGTAAACCCATCAGGAAGGACTACCATGTTCTAAGAAGTCAGACCCAGTGAAACAAACCACATAATGCAGGATGGGATTGTTGGGATAAGATGTGGAGTTCTGAAATCTGAATCTGGACAAGAACTAGGAAAAAGATAGAAACAGAGTTTTAAAAACCTTGTTACATTATATTAGGTTCCATTCCCATACCTCAAGTAGTGAATTTTTATCCACTGTTCATCACAAAGTGAGGAACACACATCATGAAGTGAGGAACACATCTTATAGAAGTCCTAAGTAGATGTCTTGGCAGTCACAGCCCCGTAAATCATCACTGTTAGAAAATACCCCTTAATGCTTAATCTTAACCCATTCACTCCAGTTCTTGAATTGCACTCCTCTAAACAATTCCTATGTCCTACCTAAGCGTCTTGGGATTATACCAAGGTGGCATGGAAACTACCTCACACTGCTTGACCTTGTCAAACAAAGATTAAGGGTGGATATTATTGCTCTCACACAAAAAGCACAGCAAATTCCTTTCTGAAGGGAAGGTATCATCTCACAGTATCCTCGTGGCTAAACTGAGGAAGTGTGATCTGGATGATCAGGTAGTGAGATGGATTGTGAACTGGCTGGAGAAAAGAAGCCAAAGAGTTGTGGTGAATGGGATGGAGTCTAGCTCGAGGCCTGTATCTAGTGGAGTCCCCCAGGGTTCGGTATTGGGACCAGTGCTGTTCAATATATTCATCAATGACTTGGATGAGGGAGTAGAGTGCACCCTCAGCAAGTTTGCTGATGACACGAAACTGGGAGGAGTGGCTGACACACCAGAAGGCTGTGCTTCCATTCAGCAAGACCTGGACAGGCTGGAGATTCGTGCAGGGAAAAATTTAATGCAATTGAACAAGGGCAAGTGTAGAGTCTTGCATCTGGGCAAGAACAACTCCAGGTACCAGTATCTGTTGGGTACGGAGCTGTTGGAGAGTAGTGTAGGGGAGAGGGACCTGGGGGTCCTGGTGGCCAGCAGGATGACCATGAGCCAGCACTGTGCCCTCGTGGCCAAGAAGGCCAATGGCATCCTGGGGTGCATCAGAAGGGGGGTGGTCAGTAGGTCGAGAGAGGTTCTCCTCCCCCTCTACTCTGCCCTGGTGAGACCGCATCTGGAATATTGTGTCCAGTTCTGGGCCCCTCAGTTCAAGAGGGACAGGGAACTGCTGGAGAGAGTCCAGCGCAGAGCCACCAAGATGATGAAGGGAATGGAGCATCTCCCTTATGAGGAAAGGCTGAGGGAGCTGGGTCTCTTTAGCCTGGAAAAGAGGAGACTGAGGGGTGACCTAATCAATGTTTATAAATATGTAAAGGGTGAGTGTCAGGAGGATGGAGACAGGCTCTTCTCTGTGACATC